CCAGCTATTCTTCTTGCCTCTGGATTCACTACAGAACAGTGAGTCAGCACCTTAAAATAGTCCCACTATGTGAGGGGGTGAAGCTTGATGCACAAATGCATGTGCACCTACTTAGTAATGAAATTTGTATTCTATAAAGCCCCGACTGAGGCTGACAAACAGTAATAATAATTTGGTGTTTAGGGAATATTCTTAGGCCATGGCTGTCTATAGTACTTCAGAAACAATTGCTAGTACCACTAGTTAATATGTAGAAAAATAAAAACTGACAAGAAAAGTAGAGTCAAATAAAAAGATAAAATGTGGCCCTAGCCAGTTTTCTCAGTGGATAGAGCTTCGGCCTGTGGACTGAAGGGTCCCAAGTTCTATTCTGGTCAAGGGCACATGCCCGGGTTGTGGGCTCAACCTCCAGAAGGTGGTGTGCAGGAGGCAACCGATCAATGATTCTCTCTTGTCATTGATGTTACTATCTCTCTCTCCCTCTCCCCTCCTCTTTGAAATCAATAAAAATATATATTTTTTTAAAGATAAAATGTGAATAGAAATATCCAAAATTTTGGCTTTCCTTGCTCTTTATTGCCTCTCTGGATTTTTTTATGTGGCTTTTAGAGTCTGTAATAATTTGTTCAACACTATCACTTATTAAAATAAAATCTATTTTTATACATTCAATATTATTTATATACTAGAGGCCCGGTGCATGAAAATTCATGCACTGGAGGAGGGATCCCTCAGCCCGGCCTGCCCCCTCTCACAGTCCAGGAGCCCTCAGGGGCGGGAGGCAACCTGGTGATCAGGGGAAGGTGACGCCCCATCACCCCTCTGCTGCTGCCACTGTCGGCAGCGCAAGCCTCGGCCATCCCTGGTTACCTGAGCCTCAGGCAGCCCTGGGCAGCTGGGGGGCTGAGGCGGGTCTGGCCGCACTGCGTGCCTACCACCCCCACCCCGGCAGGGCTGAAAGGACTGGAGGACTCTGGTGGGGCTGAGGGGACTGGGTGCCGCCATCTTGTGGCTATGGGTGCCACCATCTTTGTGACAGCGTGACAGTCAATTTGCATATCCCTTTTTATTAGATAGGCTATAAAAGCCTACCGGTTGCTATGACACGCACTGACCACCAGGGGGCAGACACTCAGCATAGGAGCTGCCCCCTGGTGGTCAGTGTGCTCCCACAGCAGTAGCACCACTCAGCCAGAAGCCAGGCTCACAGCTGATGAGCACAGCTACCACGGTGGCAGCAGGCACAGCGGGGCTGGGATGCGCAGGAGTGGCACCCGGCCTCGGCTCGGGCTCCTCCCCAGCCACTTGCCACATTGAGCACTCCGATATCCCCCAAGGGATCCCAAATTGCGAGAGGGCGCAGGCCAGGCTGAGGGAGGGGTGAAGCTTGATGCACAAATGCATGTGCACCTACTTAGTAATGAAATTTGTATTCTATAAAGCCCCGACTGAGGCTGACAAACAGTAATAATAATTTGGTGTTTAGGGAATATTCTTAGGCCATGGCTGTCTATAGTACTTCAGAAACAATTGCTAGTACCACTAGTTAATATGTAGAAAAATAAAAACTGACAAGAAAAGTAGAGTCAAATAAAAAGATAAAATGTGGCCCTAGCCAGTTTTCTCAGTGGATAGAGCTTCGGCCTGTGGACTGAAGGGTCCCAAGTTCTATTCTGGTCAAGGGCACATGCCCGGGTTGTGGGCTCAACCTCCAGAAGGTGGTGTGCAGGAGGCAACCGATCAATGATTCTCTCTTGTCATTGATGTTACTATCTCTCTCTCCCTCTCCCCTCCTCTTTGAAATCAATAAAAATATATATTTTTTTAAAGATAAAATGTGAATAGAAATATCCAAAATTTTGGCTTTCCTTGCTCTTTATTGCCTCTCTGGATTTTTTTATGTGGCTTTTAGAGTCTGTAATAATTTGTTCAACACTATCACTTATTAAAATAAAATCTATTTTTATACATTCAATATTATTTATATACTAGAGGCCCGGTGCATGAAAATTCATGCACTGGAGGAGGGATCCCTCAGCCCGGCCTGCCCCCTCTCACAGTCCAGGAGCCCTCAGGGGCGGGAGGCAACCTGGTGATCAGGGGAAGGTGACGCCCCATCACCCCTCTGCTGCTGCCACTGTCGGCAGCGCAAGCCTCGGCCATCCCTGGTTACCTGAGCCTCAGGCAGCCCTGGGCAGCTGGGGGGCTGAGGCGGGTCTGGCCGCACTGCGTGCCTACCACCCCCACCCCGGCAGGGCTGAAAGGACTGGAGGACTCTGGTGGGGCTGAGGGGACTGGGTGCCGCCATCTTGTGGCTATGGGTGCCACCATCTTTGTGACAGCGTGACAGTCAATTTGCATATCCCCTCTTTATTAGATAGGCTATAAAAGCCTACCGGTTGCTATGACACGCACTGACCACCAGGGGGCAGACACTCAGCATAGGAGCTGCCCCCTGGTGGTCAGTGTGCTCCCACAGCAGTAGCACCACTCAGCCAGAAGCCAGGCTCACAGCTGATGAGCACAGCTACCACGGTGGCAGCAGGCACAGCGGGGCTGGGATGCGCAGGAGTGGCACCCGGCCTCGGCTCGGGCTCCTCCCCAGCCACTTGCCACATTGAGCACTCCGATATCCCCCAAGGGATCCCAAATTGCGAGAGGGCGCAGGCCAGGCTGAGGGACCCACCAGTGCACAAATCCATGCACCAGGTCTCTAGTTCTGTAATAATTTCAGATATACAGCAAAGAGGTTAGGTAATCATAAACTTTACAAAGTGATCCCCCCCCCCAATATTTCAAGTACCCACCTGTCCCCATATGTAGTGATCATGATATTATGGACCATATTCCCTATGCTGTACTCTAAATCTCTGTCACTATTCTGTACCTACCAATTTGTACTGCCAATCCCTTCACCTATTTCACCCAGCTCCCCAACAACACTCTCCTCTGACAGCTGTCTGTCTGTTCTCTGTATCTATGAGTCTGTTTCTCTTTTGTTTGTCATTTTATTTTGTTCTTTAGATTCCACATATAAGTGAAATTATAAAGTATTTGTCTTTGTCTGGTTTATTTCACTTAGCATAATACCCTCTAGGTCCATCCATGCTGTCGCAAATGGTAAAGTGTGAATGTCCCACATCCCGCATGGTTCAGGGTTCGGGCTCTGGAAGATGAAAGAGACGAGACAAAAAATAATAATTTGAAAATTGGGGGGCCAGGCAAGAGCCCATTCCAAGAGGATGGACTCTGCTTGTGCTCCGGCCTTGCCATCCTTTTATTCAGTTTGGAATACACCCATAGCCCTTAGGCAGGCAAGTTCCAGTAACAGGCAGACTATCTTATCAGTAAGGATTTACATGACTATCTGGTGGGGAAGTTGATTCAGCTACCATTGTCTCGACTAAACAGTGGGTACATAGCCCTGATTTTTGCCAGGGCTTCAAGGGTCACCAGCATTCGGGTTCCTTGTCCATACCTCTCTGCCAGAGAAGACAATAGGCAGTTTCCCACAGTAAAGTTTTATTCTTTTTTATGGCTGAGTAACATTCCACTGCATACATGTTCCACGGCTTCTTTATCAACTTGCCTATTGATGGGCACTTGGACAGTTCCAGATCTTGGCTAAATAATGCTGCAGTGAACATGGGGATGTATATATTCTTTCAAATTAATGTTTTGGGTTTCTTAGACTATATTCCCAGAAGTGGAATCGCTGGGTCAAAAGGCAGTTCCATTTTTAATTTTTTTATGAACCTCCCTCCACACTGTTTTCCACAGTGGCTGCACCACTCTGCATCCCACCAGCAGTGCACGAGGGCTCCCTTCCTCCACATCCTCTGCCTCTCCGGATTCTGCTGCTGAAGAGCTAATAACCTATATAGAATGCAAACCAGATTGACACGCCCTCCTCCTATCTCAAACTTAACTTCCTATTTCCAATAAATAATCTTTTGGCTGCTTTTCTCCCTAATGCCTTTAGGATATTGTATTGTAAAGACAGAGTTCAGGTGTTTTCTCCAAAATAATAATAATAATAATAATAATAATAGATTTCCCATTTATCATTTCCTGCTTTGTGTTCCTGTATAGTCATTTCGGGGTGGTATTTGGGGATTCTGGGTTTCCATGACCAAATGGCTCACTGAGAACAAGGGGATTCATAGGATGACACATTGTCTGAGGCGGCGGGTGATTCTGAAGGTTCCTCACATAACTCAGCTGTTTTGTCACTAATTCATCCCCTCTGTCAAAGCAAGAAACAGTGACCCAGCGTGTGGCAACTGGGGAATATAGGTGCTCACATGAGCACAGTGTTTCTCTTTGTATAGTGGGCTCCTGGGTACAAGTGCTTTGAGTTGGAAACACAGGTCTCCCATTCTGAAAGTGAAAAATAACACCTCCTCCTTCAAAGCAGCGCATCAGTTTAGTAGAGCTGGCATCCTCTGTCCATTAGCAGGTGACCTTAGGCAAGTCACTAGCCTCCTGGACTTCAGTTGCCTCAACTGTAGAGTTAAGTGGTTGGACTGATTCATTCTCTCACTTTGACAGATGACCCATTCTTCACAGAGAGAGGGACGAACCTTATGAGGGGCTGGGAAAGCAGGAAGTTGGGTGGGGGGGCTGTCTGATCCCTGGCACTGTCTCCGGGTCTCCCCTGCAGCCAGGGGATCAGCACTAGCCTGGAGCACGCTCACCAGGGTCTTCAGACTCTCCAGCAGGTGAAAGCTGGTCAGTGCCGCTTCAGCTGTGGCCTGCAGTGTGCTCTGGTCCCACCTCTCTGGAGCTCTTTCCCGGGATGAGGTGATGCTGGGAGGACAGTGGCGGAGTCAGTCCAAGGGGCCTGACACTCAGCTTAAATCTGCCTTTTCTTTGGGGCCTATCCGTTCCTCACTCTGTTTTGGGGAGGTCCCTCTGACCCAGTGGGATAGATACAATGAAGGCAACTGGAGCAGCCTCAGGCCCTGCAGGCACTGCTGCTGATGAGGTATATCTTTCAGGTGAACCTATGGGAGAGGATGGCCCACGTGGGAGACTACAGACCGATGCCCTGGCTCCCTGTCCTGGTGGTAAGTGGGTCAGGACACCTGCCAGCACTGCGCAGGCTTGGCAGAGATTCCAGTGGGAGCCCCCTCCAAGCTGTGTCCTTCACCAGCCACACTTCCTTGGGCAGGTTCCTTGGGCTCTTAAGCCTCAGTTTACATGGCTGTAAAATGGGAACAACAATAGCATCATCTTCACTGAGTTCTTCTGAGGATGCAAAAAGGTAATGCCTGCAACACACTGAACAGCACCCAGGGTTTAAACTAGACTTCCCTGGTTGGTGGCTTCTTTTATAGGATTTCATGGATAGAAATGTCCTTAAATGCTTATTTACATTGTGATATACACATGCCTGTGTGACGAGCCACACCTGTGGACCATACAATTAAGAAAGATCCAAGCCTTTACCAGGAGCCCTCAGGGGAGGAGAAGAGGCACATGTGACTGAGAAACCTGCTGTGCTAGAGGCTTGGGGCAGGAGCTGCCTCATTCATGACTTTGGAAAGAATGGGAGAAAGTTTTCATGGGGGAAGCGAATTTGGATCAGGCCTCCAAGGTGGGATGGGTGTGGGACAGGGGGAGGCAGGAGTGAGGCCAGACTGTGGAAGCAGGGTGGCCTGCCCAGTTTATCAGCTAAGTTCCTGGGGATGGGGCACTGAATGAGCACAAACGGACTGAGCAGGCTCCCACCACCAGCCCTTCCTCACCCAGCCTTGGGGCTGTCTGGCCACTGACCCTGAGTAACTGAGTAACTGTGTGTCTTCAAGGAGGCATGAAAGCCAAATGACCCCTTTCTTGTGGCAGGTGTCTCTGATGTGCTCAGCCAGAGCAGAATACAACAACTGCGGCGAGAATGAGTACTACAACCAGACCACAGGGTTGTGCCATGAGTGTCCCCAGTGTGGGCCGGGGGAGGAGCCATACCTGGTAAGACCCCCTGCCTGGCTGCCAGACCACAGCCCCCGAGACCTTCATGGGGTATTGTCACCATACTTAGTGTTGCTCTGCATGTGGCTCCCTAGCTAAATCAGTGTCCGGTGCACCCGGGGCACCCTGTGCCTGATGGGCCTGTGCGCCCATGCACATGGTGTGCCCAAAGACTGTAGGTTTGGTCCTGGCAGGTGTGGCCCTGGACTCACCTATGTCCTCTGTCCTCTTCCTCGGCCAGTCCTGTGGCTACGGCACCAAAGATGAGGATTATGGCTGCATCCCCTGCCCAGCAGAGAAGTTTTCCAAAGGAGGCTACCAGATATGCAGGCGCCACAAAGACTGCGAGGGCTTCTTCCGGGCCACCGTGCTGATGCCGGGGGACATGGAGAATGACGCTGAGTGTGGGCCTTGTCTCCCTGGGTAAGCATGGGTGCTCCAAACTGCACCCAGGACACGCTCTCAGAAACCTCTGTGTATCTCTGGGAAGCCCGCTGAGAACATGAGCACCTCAGGCTGCAGTGCAGTGTCACTCCTGCTGTCTGCCCCGTTCTACCAGGGGCGACATGCAGAGAGGAGGTCACGTATCTGGAATAAGGATGGTGAGTCCTGCCACCTTTCCTGAGCAGGCAGCTTGCCCAGGCTCAGTTTCTGTGTTCTTTAAGCCAACATCAGTCAGCTCTTCCGACTTCTCAAATCAAACAAATTTGCTGACTACTTACAATGAGATAACACATGTGGAATGCTTTGGGAAAAAACACTAAAATCCCATACAAGAATATTACTTTTAGTATTCTGAGGAAAACTGAGGATAAAAGCCACTGACAGGAATATTTGAGTGTAATATGTATATAATTCCACCACAATTCTGTTATGTATCAAAAGTCTTCCCCAAAAAAGCAAAGTGCAAATGCAGTTATCCTGAAAGAAGGATAAAAATCTTCCTTCACGCGGACAGGACACATTAGCAAGTTCTGCTTGAGACAAGGAGGTGCAGCCTACCCCAGTAAACACCAAGCCTCTGCAGTTGCTGCTGCCTCCCTCTGGTGGCCACACAGCATAATGCTTGCAAGGGCTGCCCGGACACCAAGAGTGGTGATGGCTCAGGGGTGATGGAGGTGGTGGGGGCGGTGATGGAGCTGGCCAGGGTGCAGGCCATGGTGTTGGTCATGGAGGCAGCAGCATTCTCAATAGTACTCTGTACTTCACAAATCGCTTGTTTACATGTCGTCTCACTGTGCTGAATTGAGAGGAGGAAGCAAATAAGAACACATTCAAATGAGAACACTGGGCATTAGTCTAAGAAAAAGGAAGTACAAAAAAGGCAGAAAGTCCCACCAATTTAGGAATAGACTAAAAGTGAATAACTCTTTAAAATGAGGAGATATTTTAAACTCGCAGAAATTAACCCTAATTCAAATTTGTTACTGAGAAGTATCCATTTCCATGGCTTCCACCACCATCTCTCTGCTGGTGATTTGCCCACCCCCCACCTCCAGTCTCCCTAGTTTTCTGTCATCAGTTCAGACCTACGTCCTGAGTTACAGACCTGCCTATCCAAACCCCACAGGGACAACCACGTCATTGTCCGACATTGTCCCTTACACAGGATGATTCAAACATATTTTTCAAGTGAATAAAGAAATCATGAGAACTTTATTCCAGAACCTTTTCAATAAGGAAAAAACACAAAAATAGGTAGCTATACCCAAGGAAGATGTTAAACTATTATCTTAGAAAATATATATAATAATAAAAGCATAATATGCTAATTAGACCAGACATCCTTCCGGACAACCTTCTGGATGAAGCTACGGCAATGGGGGCTGAGGCAGAGGCAGCCACTGTGGCAGCGGGGGCCAAGCCCCTTCCATGAATTTTGTGCATCAGGCCTCTAGTCCTATATAATAAAAGCCTAATATGTTAAGTGTCTGGTCGTCCGGTCATCCGTTCAGCCAATCAAAGCATAATATGCTAATGATAAGCTAAGGCTGCTCAACTGCTCTCTATGACATGCACTGATTACCAGGGGGCAGATGCTCCAACCAGTAGGTTAGCTTGCTGCTGAGGTCCAGCAGATCGGGACTGAGTGAGATGCGCCCTGGAGCCTTCCCCTGGTCCCTCCCGGCTGGCCAACCTCCCGCATCCCTCCCCAGCCCCAATCGTGCACCGGTGGGGTCCTTCAGCCTGGCCTGCACCCTCTCACAGTCCAGGACCCCTCGGGAAATGTCAGAGAGCCAGTTTTGGCCCAATCCCACAGGCCAGGCCAAGGAACCCTCTAGTGATGAAATAAAAGTCCTTTCACTGGGTTTTCTTTAGTTTAGTTGCTGTGATCATTGTGTTGTGGGGGCTCCACCAGAGAGAAGTGTTGGAAGAAGCAGTCGAGCCCTAGCTGGTTTGGCTCAGTGGATAGAGTGTTGGCCTGAGGACTGAAAGGTCCTGGGTTTGATTCTGGTCAAGGGCCCATGCTGGGGTTGAGGGCTTGATCCCCAGTAGGAGGTGTGCAGGAGGCAGCCAATCAATGATTCTCATCATTGATGTTTCTATCTCTCTCTCCCTCTCCCTTCCTTTCTGAAATTAATAAAAAAAAATATTTTTTTAAAAAAAGAAGAAGATGAAGAAGCAGTTGATGCATCTGACCCAGTGGGTCACATGTCTGTGGAGGGCCTGCAGACATTGGGCTTGAATGAGAAAAATCAGAAGGACCTTGACTTTAGATGGCTAGAATCAGTCTCTGATAACTTATAATTCCTGGGACTTTTCTCTCAATTGCTTTTAATTGCTGCGGGTACATAATTCATGAAAAAATGCAGAGTTTTATGGATTAACTATAGACGTGCCGAGGAAAAGCATGCTCCCCTTGCCATGCTCAGCCTTGGGAAGAAAATAACCCTTTTTGCAAAACCTCAACTTATTTTGAGAGCCTGTCAGTGTGAGAATCTGACCTGACATTCACAACCTAGCATTTATTTCAGTAAACCTTTAAATTAAGAGTCCACCAGGTAGGTACTAGTGAGACAAAGAGGAAAGACGTAGTGCCTCTCTTTCCAGTGGAGGAGAGAGACAAGAAAACCAGTGCTCAAGAAGTCCAGGAAGGGCCATTTCTGTGATTGGGGTCAGTAGGGGTCTTAGAAGACTTCTCAGAGTGATGCTGGGATGGGTGGAACAGAGTTGAGAAGTGGAACAGAGCTCTCCAAGTGCAGGTGCTCAGCCAAAGCCCAGAGGGTGAGCAATCTGACAGGACGTAGCTGCATCCCTGGGCCAAGTGGAAGGCACACAGGTGGGTGTGGAGAAACTAGTGAGGGGAGAGGCCAGATGGAAAGGACTCTGGAAAATGATGCTGAGGACGTGAGTCATTTAGCTCGATGCTAATGCAGATGTATAAGCTGGTGTAGGACATAATCAACCTTAGGATGACCCCCTTGGCAGCAGTGAAGATAAACACTGTTGAGCAAGGAAGAGATGGAAGCCTGGGGAACAGGGATAACGTGGGAAGTTGTGAGGATCAGGGCAAGGCGAAAGCACTGGAAGTTGGAGGGAGAGGGAAAATTCAAGAGCTTGTTGGAAGACAGCAGAGACAGGAGTTGCAGACCATGTGCATGTGGGATTTGGGGAAGGAGATTTTGAAGAGGATTATCAGGTGTCTGTCTCAGCCAGCTGTGTGGACAGTGAGGCCATTTGCTAAGATGTAGACTACAGGAGGAAGAATTTTGGTGGGGAGGTGGAGGAAAGATGGAGGAGGTATGTGTGGAATTTGAGGTTGTTACATGCAGAACAACATATATAACACATCTATATATATAAAAGGCTAATATGCACAGTATCCCCACGGGAGTTCAACTGGGAGACCGGGAGTTCTGCTGCTCACTATGATGTGCGCTAAGCACCAGGGAGTGGTGCATAATGAAGGGAGACCCTGGCCAGCGGCCAGCGGCCAGGGAAGGAAGGCCCTGGCTAACAGCTGGAAGGAAGGCCCTGGCCAGCAGCCAGAAGGCCCCAATCAGCCCTGATTGCCAGCCAGTCCTAGGGACCCTACCATGCACAAATTTCATGCACCAGGCCTCTAGTATGTAAATAAACAGCTCAGGCCACATCTGGAAGTCACCTACCCATTAATGGTGTGGGAATGACTGGTCCAGATAGGCTTCCCCATAAGGCAGCTTCATAGAGGAGGGAGAGGAATGGGTGCAAGATGGAGCTTGGCCCCAAAGCATTGCTGTCTCACCCTCTGCGGTTCAGACCCATAGTGTCTGTGAGACTCAGCCAGACTATATTCCGATGCTCTAAAAGGGGTAGTGAGTATGCACATTGAGCAGCCTGTTTCATTCTTACGTAGACCCACAGAGACTCTCCTGTAGAGGGGACAAGCCCTGGGACCAGTGTAGTAAATGACCTGTCCTATGGGCAGGTGCTGGCTCGGTCACTAGAAAGGCTGCTCTGTGGCAATGAAGACAATTGGTTTGGGACCAATACATTCCCCTTGGACAGGGGAATGGTGGTGAGCTCCCTGCCTTTGGAAGGCTTCAAAGATACGGACAGCCCTCTGTGGAATTAGCAGGGAGGCCAGCATCTGTTTACAAGGATCTTCCCAGCCTGCAATCTTGAGTGACTCCCTCCCTGCTCCATGAGAACAGTGACCTGCTTCCTCCACACTTTGTCTTCGGCATCGGGACAAGGTGAGGGGAATACTGGCTGAGTGTGAAGGATATTGTGCAACGGACACGCCTCAGTGCACCTCTCATTACTCCACGGAAGTGAAAATATAGTCAGTTTCCATTTTGGCTGTTCTGTGATATGACCTCAAATAAATCACTCCCTACCCCAAGGCCATGGAAATTGAGGGCCCCTACTTTATCTCAAGGCCCAACCTCCTTATCCTGGCTCTAATAAGCACAATGCTCTATCAGGGTGGGATCCCAAAGGCCTCCCCTCTCCTATTACATGCCCTATGTTTTGAGACAAAATGAAGCTCTCAGGCTATGGCACAAAGGAGGATTACAAGGAGTAGCAAGTTGGCACCATCAGCTCCATGAAAGGCTGTTTTCATTCCCAAGTCCCTGTGGTCCCCAGGCTGCGGATGCAGACTGCCTCCTATTTGTCTTCCTGACACCACAGGTTGCCTTGGCCTGCTCCCCCTTTGTGGTTTGGCAAGCACCATCTTCTCATTCTTTTTCTGCTGTATATCAGTATGTGGCTAAGACACTGGCTGAACAATGAGCAGTACGTGGGGCTTTCCTGTTGAGAAAGACTTGTGTGGGAGGACCAGGGAATAAAACCTGAGAAGAGGAAGAGAGAAGAGGTGAAATTTCATAACCTCCCCCAGGGCATCATGTTACCCATTGGAGAAACTCCTGCTGGCTAGCTTCCACACCGCGTCCACTCCCTGCAAATAAGGCATTCTAGGATGTTTGGAAAACAGGGGCAAAGGACACGGTGGTTGCTTCTACATACCAACATTGTAGAGGGCAAAGGGAGCATCAAAGAGCTCAGTGGCATCCATTACAAGCTCAGGAGCTCTGAGAAAAGGGAACCTTTGGAGAAAATCTACACACAAAGAAGATTCTAGAGGCACATTTAAACTGAGTTTTGTCTTGGGTTACCTACCTTAATCAACCCTTGAAGAAAAGCAGAAGAAAAAAAAAAAGAAGATCCAGGGAAAAGTCTAAATAGAGAGCAAAGAGTGGGAAATTAGACCTTCACAGAAAGACAAAGGGGCCTAATACTCTAGATGGGCACAGCTCCCTAAATGAGCACCCAGCTTCAAGTTCATAGAAGCTAAACAATGAGTCTCCACTCCTGTCTGGCCGGGAATGAGAGGTGTGGGGGTAAACTAAACACAAGAAGTTGAGGTTAGTCTTAAAGAGAAAAACCCAACATTTTAAAATGTTCTGTGAAATATATGCTAAGAAATGTGTGACATATTTAACACTCATGATTTTATAACCTCCTGGAGCCAACATTTTTTTAAAAAATTATAGCCCTTCCATATTGTGTCTTCAACTAAGCTATTGAATACATTGCACAGCTTGGTGCAGACACACAGCCAGGACAGGAGGTGCAGTGGCAGCCATCGGGGCCTCTGGGAGTCAGAGAGAGAGGACCCCTCAGGATGGGAGCCATCGGCCTGCCCAAGGAGGTACCTGTGTGCCCAGCAAAGGCAGCTGACTAATCCCAGGTGGAGTTGCCCCTAGTGTGCACAGAGCATGGTGTCCCCTGGGACCCAGTGGGTGCCCAGTTCTAAGACCAAGTGTCCTATACCCACCCAGGTGGCTGTGGATTTTCATCCAAAATGGAGCTCAGCACCAGGCTATTACCAGAATGGGATTAGCTGTTGTTCTGCTTTTTGAAAATGAGGAGAGGTGTATAAAATGCCCTTTGACTTCTGTCAGTCTTAGCACTTTGAAATTCTATAGAGAACAACTTGGTTTCATTCACATCTCTTCCAATCAATACTTGCCTAACACCTTCCCTCCTCATCACCTAGCGCAAGGTACTAGGAATGCAGGCATGAACAAGGCTGGCCCTGAGGGACTCCCAGGCCAGGAAGAGAGGCATTCACAATCTGGGGGAGAAGAATGCACTAGAGGTGGAGGTGAGAGGAGGAGCAACTAATAATAGTGCCAACAAAAGTTCCCTGCCACCAATCTAATGCCAACAGTAGTCCCCAATCTGGGGACTATTCAGGTAAACAGTTTGCAAAGCCCAGAGAAGCAACCCCTAGTGAAAACCAAATTTGTGCTCCACTGAGATAAAGAGGAGGCCAATTTTCATAAAATCCCCACCCTTGTCCCTGATTGGTCCATTTTTATGCAAATGAGGAATCCAAATTTGCACAGTCTGGTCCAAATAGCACTGTGCTAATTGGTCAGCTTCACGTATTCTGATTGGTTGTTATGGAGCAGCTCTGATTGGTTAGTAAAGATGCAAATTAGGTTATAGCTGTGAAATTTTAAATGGACAAGGCAGGTCTCAGCCCACTAACTTCTTCACCAGGATGGACTCAACAGGCAGGAGCACCGGGAGGAGACTGGAGGTTCAGTCTGCAGTTTTCCCCTGAAAGGCAGCCTATGTGAGAGGCCTCTGTCGGCAATGGCTGCCAGACTCTTGTTATGAATTTGGACCCAGTTAACCATGAGGAGGCCTTCTTGGCAGATAGATTCCTTCTCAGGTCGCAGAGGCAACTCTGGGTCTGTATGTCAAAAAGCTGCAGGAGGACTGCCCTGGCCAACCTGGAGTCCAGAGCCCTTCACCCTGGTTAGGCTACGCCCCTCCTGGTGCAGACACGCCCCTCCTGGAACCCGTGCGCTGGGGGCCCCTACGGCTTCCTGCTTTCTCAGCACTGATGACTTCTGGAGGGGACAAGGTGTGCGTTTGAGAGAGGCTTTTTCCAGAGGTTTAATTGTGAACCTGGCTGTGCTGGCTTCTCTGCGGGATGTTTTGAAATTGGTTAATTAATGTTTTTAGATACACAGGAATCTGGGGATAAAATGCTCTGAGGAAGGGCAGGTAATTATGATCATAATGTTACTGATAATGGTTCAGCTCCTGGCCGCTAGAGTCCGAATACTCCCCCCACAGTCCTGCTCCATGCTACCACTTACCACTACCATCAGCAGGGCCTGGATGTGCATGGCTAATAAAAGAGATTTTAAAACAACCATGGAAGTATTCAACAGTGCAGAGGGATTTTTCATTTTTTGAAATGGTAGTAAGGGAGAACATGGGCACCAGCTCACTTTATTAATTGATTTCTCACAATGCAATACTGGTTCTATGATCATCGCTGAATGTATACTTATGGAAAACAAGCATACACCAAGAGAAGTGCCAAAACCTGCCTGCAGTTGGAAAGGAGGCTGAGTTGTGAGGCTGGGAGGGGAGGCCAGGAGGTGTGCCCTGCAGAGAACGGCAGCCCATGGTGGCAGGCTCTGGGCAGGGAATTCTGAGAGCCAGCATGGTATATTGACATCAGGAAGCTCAAAAGACATCACCGTTAAGGCTTTGTCTTTTTTTTTAAATGTCACAACCCCAGCATGAATTGATATGGGTGTCTTCGGACAAGTGCTTCCTGAGGAGGAAGCAAACAAATTTCAGTTATGACCTGGCTGTCTCTAAAGCCCTCTGTGGTGACCTCTCTGGGCATTGCTATAGCCACGTTGCCAGCCAGTGCCGCTCCCTGGTGGTCAGCAAGTGTTCCCTGGGAGGTCCCAGTGTCACAGGCAGAGACACATTTACGGGCTTTCACCAAGGGAGTGCTCCTCCTCCAAAAGTGCCTGAATCTCTGGTTGGCAAGACACCCAAGGCACTAACCAGAGCATACACGTGGTGGCAGAGCATACACGTGGTGGTGGGCACGCACGTGGTGGCAGGCATGCACACGGTGGGCACGCAGATGTTTAGGTGGAGGATGTGGATGAAGATGGTGATGACATGCGCACACAAGCTCATCGGTGAAAGGAACCAAAAAGGGGAGGAGATATTTGTAAGACCCAAACTGGCCCAATATTGGGGGGAAATCCATTTTAAGACAAGTTGAAAACCTTCAAGGAATCTCAGTGATCAAAATGGGCTGCTGCCTCAGCAGGGCTCCTGCTTCCCAGGTGTCTGTCTCAGGCCTGATTTGGATCATGCTTTGGTCGTGGGTGTGCCAAGTGGTCAGCATTTGCTTGTGGCAGTGCCAGTTCACCTGTCTACTTTGTCTGAATCTCAGTGATCAAAATGGGCTGCTGCCTCAGCAGGGCTCCTGCTTCCCAGGTGTCTGTCTCAGGCCTGATTTGGATCATGCTTTGGTCGTGGGTGTGCCAAGTGGTCAGCATTTGCTTGTGGCAGTGCCCAGTTCACCTGTCTACTTTGTCTTGTTTGCCCTCCCTGTCTTGTAGCTACTACATATTGGAAAACAGACCCAGGAACATCTACGGCATGGTCTGCTATTCCTGCCTCCTGGCGCCCCCCAACACCAAGGAATGTGAGTGCACTTTGTCCTTCCATAAGAACGGTACTGGTTCAATATTGATGTCTTGCATTACATGGTGGGGTAGACAGAAGCCAGTCCTGGCCCCTAAACAAGTTAAGTACAGTAAAGGCATAAACAAAAATGTTCTCATGGCCTAACCAATCAGAAAGCAAGTCCATGAAAAAGGTTTGCTGTACCATGAGTCAGAGACTCAGGTCAGTAACCTTGGACAAGTGACCTTGAATAAATCTCATAACCGCTATGAGCCTCAGTTTTTTCATCTGTAATTTGGGGGTGCTAAAATCTGAATTATCTATGTCATGCAATTCTTGGATAAAACAATGAGACCACAGATGCCAAGGTATTTTGCAAAGTTCTACAAAGCTCTGTCTAGACAATTGTTAGTTCTCATACATAACCTCTGCTTTCCCATCTGAGAAATGGGGACATGCAGCCAGATGGGCCATGTGGGGTGACATGGTGAATGCAGCCCTGCATGGGTCAGGCTCTCAAGTGTGGACATGAAGGTTACTCTCTCCACCTCGAGGTCTCCACTTCCCCTGCACAGGGCTCCTGCTCAGGAATCAGAAGATGGGGGTAGAGGGTCAGTAATGAGGCCCAAACTCACAGAGGCCCAAACTCACAGAACTACCATCAGCAGCTCTACCCCAGCCAGCCCAGGAACTAGGTAAAACCTAGTCAGGACCCCAATGTGCCAGCTGGCTGCCCAGGCCCCACCAGGCTCTGCCCTTCCTGAGCCTTGGTCAGTGGTTGAGAATTCCTTTGCCTCTGCCTGAGAAGCCTGCTTTGGTTTTGTTTGGCTGTGATTTACCTGGGCCCTTGCCAGGCAAGCTAATGCCCTTGGTAGCCCAAGTCAATGGATAGTGGATTACACACCCCATAATCAAAGAGAACCTGGCACGAACCCCAGGAAGCATATGACAGATGCACACGTGTGAGGGCTGGCGGAGGCCAGGGGTGCCAGCTGTACAGGAGCAAGCCCTGGACTCACAGCCTGAATCTGCCTGGGCTCTCCACCATCCCAGGTGCTTTCCTGTCCTCTGTGTTTCCATCCTTAAAGAGATGACGGCTTCTGTGAAGTGTGGGGCTGAGATTCTCCCAGGAGCCCCGGGCTGCAGTCACCCAGCCGTGCTTTAGCATGCTCGGGTGGGGCTGAGAATGCAGGCTCACGGTCCCCAGGGGCTTCCGGGACCCCACGGAGAGCCCTGATGTGGGTTGTGGATCCTGCTCTGGAACTTCAGGGCCTGAGTTTACATTCCTGTTTCCTCACCTGCCAAAGACACCCACCTCCCCAGCTGTTGTGCAGGGGACTGAGCTACAGTGCTGGCTACTGTGTCGTGGCCCATCCAAATACCCTCAGGAGGAGTGGCGAAGCACCACATAGTTATTGTTAAATGGGGGGAAAAATCAATCTAGTTTCCAACACCATCAAGTAGTAAGAGGGAGGCCAGAGGATTGCCACTGGTCAACATTGGTCCTGCCTCTGGGCCATCGTCATCTTCAGGCAAACAGACATGTGTGGAGCTTCGGACAGAGCCTGGTTGGGCCTCAGGGACTGTAACTGCCAGGGAGCCACGAACTCCCTGGTTTCCGTTTTCTCTCCTGAATAACAAGTGTAAGTGATGCCTCTTACATAAACCACATGCGTGTGGCAGGGACGCCCCCAGGTATTCAAGAGCTTTGAAACCTCTCCTGCTTGCGACTTGCCCATCGGGAAAACTTCAAGCCTTTCTTCCAGAAGCTTCCACCGCAGTGAACAAGCACTACCTTCCTTCCGCACCCCTAGTCCCATCACTGTTTGTCCTGGAAGTGAGAGAAGAAGCCCTCCAGTTATTTTTCAGTTACATCAAAGAGAAGACCCACTTGGTGCAACCAAAGCTTTCGGGTTTTGTTGTTTTCCTTGCACGGGCCTGAGGACTGCCTCGGAAAGGACCCGTGCTGTGATGGCATGGGGGTGGCTCGGGGCGAGAGGAAGGAAGGGTGTGGCATCAGATTTGGGATTCGTTCGAGTTTCCACTCTTGGGACAGTTACCTAACTTTGTACTTAGTTTCCCCATCTGTTACATGGGATCGTCTTCTCAGAAGATTGTTGGGAGGAGGAGATGACATGTCAGGTGTGTGTGAGCCCCCGCTCCAGTGTGCATGCGGCACTTACCGCGGGGTAAAGCTTCAGCCTCATGGGTGAGCACCAGCCAGGCCCCTGCAGCTCCACATCGTACAGCTGACCTTCTCTGGGACACGGAGAGCAAGAACCCCTCCCGCACAGAGTGCTGGAGGAATCGGTGAGAGAGTGGTGGGTCTGGCACCCAGCAAGTGTTCCCTGGTCATCATCACCATTTTATGACCACTTGTCAGTGACTGTGACCCCTGAGTCAAGTCCACTCTGCCACCAGCGAACTGTGTTTCCCTCCAGATGCTATCCTGTGATGCCAAGCAGTGATGAACTCCAATGTGAAGCCTTGGCCTCCCCAAATGCCAGTTTCTAGCTATTTCCAAAGCAGTGTTTCTCAAACTCGAATGTGCACACCCCTTGTTACCAGTCCACAATCCATGTGCCAACACTGCAAAAGGCCAGTGTTCAAAACAGCAGAGTTGGAGCAAGGAAAGTTGTATTGATTGAGAAGGTACCTAGTCAAGCAGATGATTCTTCAAATCCATCTTCCAAGAGCCCAGAATTCAGGTGTCTTTTATGTCAACAGAAGAGAGAATGGAAGGGACAAGAGATGATTGATCACCAAAGGCATCTGGCCACCAACAGGGATCCAAAGAAGAGTGTGAAATCTCGAAATCTCTTTGTTCTGGGTCACCATCTCTGTACACATTTCCTCACCTCCCTGGGGAGAGGCATCCCCTGGCAAGAGGCTGTTTCTCCAAAAACTGTAGCCCCAAGCAGAATTCCTCTAATAATGAACACATTTGTAGCAGGAGCTGGTAGCCTGCAGGCCATGGGAGAAATGCAGGCTGGACCAGAGGTAGAGTCCGAGAAAGCAAACATGTCAGTCTGTCACACCATCCCCAGGTCCAGTTAAGAAACAGGTCCTGCCTCAGAGGTCTAGATGGGCTCCAAGACTGCCCTCCCAGCAAGCTCCTGGGCCCCTTGAGCAGCCAAGTTCTAATGACTCTGCCCGTTGTTCCAGCAGCTGCCAGTAGGGGGTGCTGAGCCAGTGAAACAGCCTCAGGCCCCCTCAATGACAACTGTAAGAATCAACAAACAAATCATTCCTAAAAACCCAAGCTGTTTGCCATATGTAGAGAATGCCAGCCATCGCTATACTCATCAGCACACTTATAAACAGCGTGGATTAACAAATCTCAAAGGTTCTTAGTGAACCCTGTCATCACATTGAACAGAGGTATGCTGACATTAAGCCATATGCTCACGGTTTCAGACTCCTCCTGAGGAGGTGAGTGTACTCCCCGCAAAGCCCACCTGCCTGTACCAATGTCTACAGTCAGTGCTGCCTCACACTCAGACTCCATTTTCTTTCGTTTGCATAGAGACCTTGTAAGGATATTCCTGTCTACTTTCTGGGATACAGTTTCCAACAACCTTCCCTTACCCCTATTATAAAATATCTCATCTTTGCGTATTCAAAGCTGGACTCCAAACATGATGGAGCATAAGATGAGTTAGTAGTTAACCACCTATCAGAAACAACACTGACACATATTTTCATCAATGATCCATTCCAAGGAGGCCAAGTGACCTGGAAAGACAAAGCATGTGTTGGAGCAAAGGGAAACCTCCCAGGCACCACATACTTTTATTAGTGCTGAGCTAATCCTCATTAGGCCACAGCAGGGCCTGGGCAGGGGAATGTCCTGTGCAGGTCCTATGGAGATGGTGTGCTCGCCCGAGGGCACCCGCCCCAGAGGGGACCGCTGGTCCTGCTCACTCTCCCTGTTATCCTTGGATGTGCTCAAAACACACCAGCCCAGGCTGTTCAGTTGGTACCAGCTGGAGTTCATTTTGGTGCAGCGAGGTGCACATTATTGACTCGCAGTAGCCTGCGTCCATTGTCTGCTGATGTTTACGTGTGACCGGCCCTGCCAGTCAGGTGCAAAGGCATTCCATAAGTCAGCATGCTGCTAGACTGCTCTCACTGTCCCTCTCTGGGCCACCGGCCTGGGCATATCTGTATCCCCAACCCCCCCCCCCCCCCCCTCCACCACCCCCCCGCC